AAACTGGACACTGCATGTGCATGTGGTGGGGCTCCCACACATGCACGGCCCCTCAGCAGTCGCTCTCGACCTCCAAAGCTGCCCTGGTCAACGCTTGAACTCAGGGCACACATCTGCTGAAGGGCTCCAAAGCTCCCTGTTCCATGGTAGCTGTACTGCACTGTTTAAAGTGTTTCCCGCTAGACGAGCTAAGGAAGTGGCGGAATGCAGTAACAGGAAAGACGTCACCTGAGAAAGTGCGCAGAAGCTGGCATCCATCAGGAAAGACAAGAGAGGGCAGCCATGGGAGGGAAAGCCTATACAGGCTGCAAACAGGACAGCCGAGAAAGACACCCGAGGAACTAAGCAAATATTCCCAAGTTATAGGGTAATAAAAGGGATGAGAATTTGCCTCTAGATATGCCAAGAACAGCAGACCTTCAAACACGCTTTGCAGTCTGATTAGAAGCAAGGGCAGGTTAGGAGGCACCCTTCAGTCTTACAGCAGTGAGGAGACAGGAAAAGAGCCAAGCGCAGACAGCCGCCAAGAGCAGGGGTGCACACTTGTAGCCAAACAACTGAATGAACCAGACAGAACCGGTTGGCAGAGAGCAGAGCAAACAGTACGAGTCTGGCCCAGCCTTCCCTGCCAAGGAGGACGGACTGCTTCAAAGGCCTCACTGAGTTGGCCCCTAGGCACCAAATCAAGACTAGATCTAAGTTGTCCCTAACAATACACGAGGTAATGAAAACAAAGAGGCCTGGACGCTACGTCTGCCTGTCAGAAAGTATCCATCATGGGAAATTATTCTGAAGTGTTAGACCACTGCCATTTCTGAAATCATTCCCACAGAGGAAGACTGGGGCCGCAGGATCTCCCTTCCGGGCTGAAATTCACACTCCAGCAGATGGCTGGCCAAAACCACGTGTGCCCTAGAAGTCCATTTTATCAGTTTCACAATACTCGGGAAACTCGGTCAAGAGTCTGGTGCCATCCATTTCTCTGGCTGCATCTGAAATTCTAAGATCACAAACTTCCCTATAGGCCTGGCAGAAAAGAAGATAATCTAAGCAGGTACCGAGCTCTCAACCTATCGTCTATAGACACGGACCCCAAAGAAATGGGAATTTCCCCAGGAACCTCACTGGAGAAGGGAAGGGCACCAGCTAGGGGAAGCAGGAGGTTCTCACTGAAAGAGACTTTACACAGCGCTAACAAGCTGCCAGGCCACACAAGCACCGGTCTGTGGTGGACGGGACCACACAGTGACTAGGGACTGATGGATACACCTATGGCGCTTTGTTTAATCTCACTTCAGGACCCTGAAGACTGCTTGGGGGTCCCCTCGCTCTCTCTGTCTCCCTCTTCCCAGTGTGGCTACAGCGAGTCAATCTTTTTCTGCTTTCTCCTAATTCGGCTCTTTTCATTCCCTTACTGAGGAAGGGTGGCAGGACTTGGCTTGGGTAACAGGTTGTGACCCTGACTTTGATAACAATCAGCTTCAAGCAATTACGGATTACAGTTATTCTTCCTTAACACGCAAGCTTTGCAGAAGTGCCGCCCATGGTTAGTGCGCTCCATGTCATTTATGCGTACAGGAACCAGGATTTCAGACTTCTGTTTACAGAAATTGTACTTTTGCATCGTGGCAGCCTGAGGCTGGACCACCGTCAGGAGACTATGGTCCTCATCTAACATGCTCCCGCGTGGGAACCCACAGTCACCTGTGTGTTTCCCAGAATCTGCTAGCAATGAAATAAACTTTAGAATAATTCTTTTAAAAAATCTAAATATATAGTAATCAAGACAATCATGCATTGCTGAAAAACTAAGCACCAATGGAGCAGGCCGTGGAGTCTAGAAGCAAGTTCACAAAGTCTGCTGATCCTTGCCAAGGAAACAAAGGTTAAGTTGTAGTTATCTAGCTTAAGGCTAGGGATTGCTGGAGAACTTGCCTGGGCTAGACCCTCGGTTCAACCCCAAATACAACAAAACAAAACAAAACAAAATTAAAAAAAAAAAAACAAATATAAGCCTGGAGAAGCCTTTAATCCCAGCACTCAGGAGACAGGCAGGAGGATCTCTGAGTTCAAGGCCAGTCTTGTCTGCAGAGTGAATTCCAGGACAGCCAGGGCTGTTACATAAAGAAATCCTGTCTCAAGAAACCAAACCAAACCAAAAGAAAACAAAACAAAATAACCCATAAGTATATATTTTAGCCACCCATACCTATTATCCCAATACTCAGAGGCTGAGGCAGGAGAAGAACCATGCTAGAAGCCATCCTGGGCTATATCGTAACTCCCAGACCAGTCTGGGCTACATACAGAATGGTACCTCATCTCAACAAATACACCAAAAAAACAAACTATACCAAAAACTCAGAAAAATCAAAAGTAGGAACAAAATTCATGGGGGAAAAAAGTTAAAAGAACTGACAGATAACTCACCAAAGAAAACACACAAATAGAAAATAAAGACATGAAAGACGTTGCATGTGACCCACCCACTCACTAGCACAGCTGTGGTGGCCTGAATGCACGTGGTCCCCATGGGCTCGTGTGTTCGCATGTTTAGTTCCCCCTGGTGGACTGTCTGAGAAGGATTAGAAGGTGTGGCCTTGTTACAGGAAGTGGGCTTTGAGGTTCCGAAAGCTAATGCCTTTTGCCTATGGATCATGATGTAGCTCTTAGCTACTTCTCCAGTACCCTGCCTGTCTGCCCGCATGCTGCGGTGGTCCTCCTGCCATGATGATAAAAGGACAAGGCCTCTGAAACTGTGAGCAAGCCCCTGAGATTAAATATTTTCCTTTATAAGATTTGCTGTGGTCATGGTGTCTCTTCACAGCAATAGAATACTAAGATAATGGCCAAATTCAAAGACACTGGCAGCATCAAATCCGGGCAATGATGTAGGACAACTGGACTCTTTCACTGGTGGTGGGTGAGAATGCATGGGGATGTGACCATTTTGGAAAACAATTTGGCAGCTTCTTATAAAACTAAATCCACATTGAACACCTGATTCTGCCACAGAGTGCACTGCAGAATCAGGCAACCTTAAATATGTGAGACTAAGTTAAGTAAGCCAGTCTGAAAAGATTCCATATAGACCCAACTACACCATATTCCAGAAAAGACAGAACTACAGGCAGGGGATGGAGATGGCTCAATGTTTGCAAGTACTGGTCGCTCTTCCAGAGAACCCAGGTTAGATTCCCAATACCCACATGGTGGCTCACTAATTCTAGTCCCAGGGGATCTGACTCCCTCTTCTGGCCTCCACTGAGAACCATGCACACAGGTGATGCATACACATACATACAGGCAAAACACCCAAACACATAAAATCATTTTTTGATGGGAGGACTCCTACACAGCTGCAGTCAGCACCTGAGGGCCCACACATAGCCCTAATCTGCCCTTTTGCCTTCAGCACCTTCTGTTTAACATATGTGAATCAGGTATGAGAGTTCCCAAAGGTGCAACACCTGGTTGGGAGACAACCCGGAAACCCACCAATATTTTCTGATCGAGAATTTTTATTTGGCATTGTCCTTTTGGAAGCTTAATTAAGGTGTTTTAGGAATATGAACATCAACTTGCTAAGGTGTAAACTGGAGGACAATAAAGAAGCCTTGAGCTAAGGGAAAGCGGTGAACTCTGTAGAGACGAATCCACCCTGCAGCTGGAAAAGGCTAAATTCATCCTCTGTATTTTCTTCCCAGACCCACATGAATGAACACCCACACCAGAACCACAGCAAGACAGAAAGACATGGACCCAGATTGGAGGGAGTGGGGGGACGAGCTGGGAGGATTAGAGGAAGGGGAAACCAAAAGCAGAATATATTATATTTTTAAAAAATCTATTTTCAATAAAAGAATAAAAAGGATGCTTTCAATTGTCACTAGGAGTAGATCCACTGGGCAAGAGTAGCACTTTCGGGACTTCTGGATTCCAACTGCCAAGCTACCCTGGAGAAAAGGTGCCCAAGTCACATTCCTTCTGCAATTGTCCCTCACACTAAGTAACTGCCACTACTTCCCCCTCCCTCAGCCTTCCTCTGCCATGGTATGTAGTGCTCATTTTTTGAACATTAAAAAAATCAGCCTTTCTATCTTAACCACCAGATTTAGGATAGCTACCCACATATAATCTCAAGAGGATTTCACCTAGAAATAGTCTATCACAGCCAGGTGGTGGTGGCACACACCTGTAATCCCAGCAGAGGCAGGTGGATCTCTGAGTTTAAGGCCAGCCTGGTCTACAGAGCGAGTGTCAGGACAGTCGGGGCTACACAGAGAAGGTGTCTCAAAAAAAGTAAAGCACACCTTTAATCCCAGCACACAGGAGGCAGAGGTATGCGGATCTCTGAGTTCAGACCAGTAAAGGGTGGACAGTAAGACCCCGTCTCAGAAAATAACCTCAAAAAGTAAAATAAAAATCATGCCAGACGGTGGTGATGCACACCTCTAATCCCAGTGATCTTTCAAGGACAGTCAGTGTTACATAGTGAAACCTTGTCTTGAAAAACCAAAATAAATAAATAGTAAGAATAAATTCATTTAAAATCCCTTTCCATTAAAGCCAGAAGATGTGTTGATATACATCTCTCTAACTGAAGTTGCAGATCAAATTTTTCCATTTCCATTACAAAAAGGAAAGAAACATGGGGCATAGGGAGGCACTTGTCAATAAAACAGACCACAGTAAGCCTTCCCAAGGGAGCCCTAGTCAGTAAACAGCCATCAGTCTGGGCAAAGGACAGGGATCTTCTGATTATGTGAAACTATTTGCAATTCAGATCACAGGTAAAACCACAGCGCCCACAAGGACCTTCCTCAAACACTACAGAGCCCATGCCAAACCTTCTTTCCACCCAGACTCAGAGCTTATCTCCGCTCCACCGAACACCAATGAGAACTCAGATAAGGACGAGATCTGGGTCAGGCATTATGTTTGTTGCAGATGGGAGCCGCAGGACTCTCGGGGACCAGGAACAGGCGCAGCTTTCTTACCTTGACCATGAATGTGAAGTCTGTTAGGGCAGGGGAGTAGACGGCCCCACCAGCGCATGGGCCCATGATCAGAGAAATCTGAGGGATGACTCCGGACGCTGTGACATTCCTCTGCCAACACAGAAAGGCAAAGCACCTGGTTACAGAAGCACTCACGAAGGTATCTGCAGGAAGATGAAGCCAACAATAAAATCAAGCAAAAGATCTAGTCAGGAAAGTGCTTCCAAAATTACATGTGGCATTTGTCCCCATAATGGAGAGGTTGATTTGTCACTGAAACAAGGAGCATTGTCTTGACAGCGGTTCCTCGAAGTGTCCACCAGAATGTGGCTACAGGTCCCGCCACTTTCTCATGTGCACCCATGTACGCAGAGCCACCACGGGGAAGCAGCCAACAGTCACCCTGCAAGTAGCCCTGACCTCTGTGTTCAGCTCCCAGAAGTCATGCCAGAGAGGCAGGTGGCACTTGAGAGACCCTCGGTATCTGCTCCTCAGCCAACGCTTGGTGGAGGTGAGGGGAAACGCTGCGTACTACAGCTCACCACAGCACCAAAGCCATCTCTACTCAGCAAAAAAAAAAAAAAAAAAAACAAGGGGGGGTGGACTCTCAACTGCAGGAGAACTGAGTTTAGAAAATCCCTTGAAAAACTACTATAAAATTAGGAGACATCGTCAAAAACAAGTATTCAAGTCTCTGGTAATGAACAAAATGTTTATGCCTAAAAACTGCCCAGCAAGCCAGAAACGGCAGCTCACACTTTTAACCCCAGCACCTGGGAAGCAGAGGCAGGAGGATTGTGCTACAAGTCCTAGACTGAGTCCAAAGCTAGGCTGAGTTGCACTGAAAGACTCTGTCTCCCACTTCTATCTCCACGAGAAGAGGGGCGGAAAGCTGAACACTAAACGTGATTAAGACACTGAGAGTCCAGCGTTTTTAATTAAGGCTCACCAGTCCCATGCCAGCTCAGGGTGACACCTGGGGGAGAGGAAACAGCAACCCAAGCTCTCAAGAAGCAATTGCGTTAACCTGTGATTAAAAACCCATTGCTGGAGGTTGGGGAGATGGCTCAGCGGGTAACTGCAAACATGTGGACTGGAGCTCTGACTTCCAGGACCCAAAGCCAGATGGGATTGCTTGAGCTTCTATAGTTCCAGCACTTCTATAGCATGACAGGAGGCAGAGGCAGGGGGATTCCCACAAGCTCATAGGACAGCTGGAATACACAGAAGGGAGCAACATGATATCCTGTCTCGAAACTAGGGGGAAAGCCAGTTGTCTGACCACCACAGGTCACCATGGATATGTACAACTGCGCATACACGCGGACACACACACACACACACACACACAAATAAAATATTGAATAAAAATCTCTTCTTAATTGGGACTGGAGCAACAGCTCAGCAGTTAGAAGCATTTGCTGAATTCAGATCAGGAGACTTACTTCAGCTCCTGGGGACTCTTCACTGTTCTGAGATAATTATACACTCACTGCATGAAGACACATTGCTGTGATTGGTGTAGTAAAAAGCTGAACAGCCAATAGCTAGACAGGAGGATAAGTGGGATTTCCAGGGAGAAAAGGGAAGAGGAAAAGGAACCTAGGTGTGCAGGAGATGCCAGGGAGACCTGAAAAGGTCGGACATACAGTACACAGATAACTGAGCCTCTTGGCAGAACAAAGATTAATAAAAGCAAATTAATTTAAGTTACAGGAGCTAGTGGGACAAGCCTAAGCTAATGGTCAAATTTCATAATTAATAAGAAGCCTCTGTGTCGCTATTTGAGGGCTGGCGATTCAAAGATAGTCCGACAAGAAAGATTGCTACACTACACCATCTTCTGGTCTCCACCAGCACCTAGACACATATGGCAGACTCAGACACACACATCCTGAAAAACAATTTTTTAAAAATAAATAACAAGCTGGGTGGTGGTGCACACCTGATGTGGGATTCCCCTCTGTATGCTCTGATTACCATAAATGAATAAAGAAAACCGGCTTGGCCAAGTGCCTTTGTCAGGAAATTTGTCAATGCACTGAGGAAGTGACACCACACCCACAGAGCAACATGCATGTACAGAAATAGCTTAGGAAAGTCACAGGCAGATCCCACACTCAACAAGCAAAGATCAGTAGCCCCTGAAGACTGAAAGAACCCAATCTGTAAGTTACCAGAAAACCAGACATGGTGGTTTTGGGCCCCCAAAGGAAGAGGCACAATTAGGACCTACAGTCTTGTTGGAGTAGGTGTGGTCTTGTTGCTGGGAGTGTGTCACTGTGAAGATGGGCTTTGAGGTCTTATATATGCTTAACATATATGGTAAAGAGATGCTTCAGTGGTTAAAGAAATTGGTTGCTCCTCCAGAGGACCCAAGTTTGATTCCCAGAACCCACATGACTGTTTACAACCATCTATAACTCTAGACCCAAGAGATCCAACATCCTCTTCTGGAATAAAAAGGCACCAGGCACATACACATGCATGCAGGCAAAACACCCAAATGTAAGAAATAAAAATTAAAAGTTAAGGCCAGGTGTTGGTGGCAGAACATGCCTTAATCCCAGCACTTGGGAGGCAGAATCAGGTGGATCTCTGAGTTCGAGGCCATCCTGATCTACAGAGTGAGTTCCAGGATAACTAGGGTTACACAGAGAGGCCTTTCTCAAGTAAATAAGTAAATAAATAAATAATGAAGGTTGAATTTTTTGAAAAATAAAATATGATGAAAATTAAACTGAACTAAAATGGCCCAACTAGCCGGTGGTGGGGCACGCCTTTAATCCCAGCACTTGGGAGGCAGAGGCAGGCGGATTTCTGTGAGTTCGAGACCAGCCTGGCCTACAGAGCTAGTTCCAGGACAGGCTCCAAAGCCACAGAGAAACCCTGTCTCAAAAAACCAACAAATAAATAAATAAATAAAATGGCCCAACTAAATATAAAGGGGGGAAGCTGTGGCTGGGCAGGGCAGCACAGACCTATAACCTCACCAGGTAGTGTGAACTATATAGAGATATTTGTCTTTTAAAACGGAAGGCATTGGGGATGGGAGGAGTCCAGAAAGCAGTCTCGGGATAAAGGCTTGATCCTGTGTTGTTAATTTCTGGAAACTTTTAATTGTGATGTAATTTCAGACCTCATGGAAAACTTGAAACAGTTTAAGATCTGTCCTGTGTTCTTCGGCTGGATAGCTGTCCCCACTGGCTGTATCATTCTCTCCAGAAATACATATTTGCATATCACATTATTTTGAAACATCTGAGGGCTAATTGGTGATATTTTGCTTCCTCCAGCTCTTAAGTCCTTCATTGTGTGTTTCTGGGGGAACATTTACCAGAGTATAATCGTAAAAGGAGATTCAACCCTGATCTATTGCTATCTGTAGTCCTTATCTAGGGGCCTCAATAAAACCCTTAGTAGCTTCCTTTCCTTCTCCGGTTCCTCTCTTTCACTTTTTCTCTTTTCTCCTGCCCTTTTCGCTTCTCTCCCTTCCCCCCTTCTCTCTCCTTTCCTTTCCTCCCCTCCCCTCCCTTCCCCTCTTCTCTCCTTTCCTTCCCCCCCTCCCCCCTTCCCTCTTTCCCCCTCCCCATCCTTTCCTCTCCTCCCCTCCCTTGTCTTTTTCTCTCCTATCTCCTACCCTTCCCCTCTCCCCTTTCCGTCTCCCTCTTTCCTTATACTTTTGTTCCTGACTAGGAATGAATTCAATTGTTATACAGCTTTAATTTTTTTTTCTTTGAAGAAAAAAGCATGTTTAAGACGGACAGAAGCCGGGAAGCCTCTCAAGGGCCAGAACTGCCTTACAACTTAGAATACCTCTCACAAGATGGCTCGGTTGAATCCTGAAGGGTGGTGACCCCAGACGTGACAGCTGTCATTCCCGCAGGGGAAGGAGGATAGCCCAGGGCTGACTGGAAACTTCCTGGCTCTGGTCTCTGTCAGACCCTCCCTGTGTCTCTCATAACACAGCTCCTAGGCAAACCAGGCAAGTATCTGGAATGATGTTCTCCAAGGCCTCTGATTTGAAGAGATTTCTTCTTCTTTGTATAATTATCCAGAACATTAAATTTAAAAAGCACTTAAAAAAAAATTCTAGTTCTAGCAAATCAGTCTACTTTAATGTTCCTTACCTTGTTGCTCTTGCTTCAAAAAAAAGAGAAAGAAAAGAAAAGAAAAGAAAAGAAAAGAAAAGAAAAGAAAGAAAGAAAGAAAGAAAGAAAGAAAGAAAGAGAAAACATTTCCAAGTACTTTCTCCTCATGAGTGACCTTGAATTATTCACCTAACAACTGGCCCTCTATCAAGAAAAAGCAGGCTCTGCACCACCTAGCAGGTCCCCCACCCCCACCCCACCTGCAGAGGACAGTGTGGAGAGACAGGCACCCACACACACACACTCACGGACTCCTGCTGTGAATAGGTTTCTCACCAGGAAGATGTCCGCGTAGCCAGCCAAGGACTCCACCCCCTCCTGGATTCGGGCGCCCCCGGAGTCATTCAGCCCGATCACTGGAGCCCCTACTGTTAAGGCCTGGTCCATGATCTAAAACGGCATAGAAATCCCATGAGACATCTGCTCTGGTTTTCGAAAGCAGCAGTGACAAAAAGCCTTGTTGTGCCAAGAAGATGGCTTGGTGGGGGAGAGTCACCAGACTAAAAGGCCACTGCCTGTGCCCCCACAAGCCAGGCCCAGCCACCCATGCTCAATGAGTCCACTGGAGCCAGATGAATAGTGGAAAGCAGAAAAGGGAGATTTATCAATGTGACCACACAGGAAGAGGGACAAAGGGATCCGGACTTTATGCTCCCACCAAGGCCACCTTCAGGGGTCCTGGTATGAGGAGGGTTAAAATACTAAGAAGTTTGCATAACTGGACAGTCCCATAAGGTGTGGGCCCTGTCCCCCACTCAGCTCCCAGGCTCTCCTACAAGGACATCTGTCAGGCTGGATCTTTCTCCAGGAGACAAGTCGCTCCTCTGAGTGCCTCAGGGCTTCCGCCATTTCTCCTGGAGAAATTCTTGGAGTCCATTCTTTCAACAGTCCAGTAGCTGAAGAGGGGAGCATGACGCACAGTGTCTCTTTAGAACAGTGGTTCACAACCTTCCAAACGCTGCGACCCCTTAATACTGTTCCTCATGTTGTGGTGGCCCCCAACCATAAACTTGTTTATTTGCTACTTCATTTTGCTACTGTTATGAATCATAACTTAAATATCTGATATGCAGGATATCTGACATGTGACCTGCAAAGGGGTCGTGACCCACAGGTTGAGAACTGTTGCTTTAGCACATTCAGCCCAGTCAAGCAGGCCAAGCACAAGATCACTTAACATAAAAGCCTGGTGAGACCCAAGTTAGATCCCCAAGAACCCACCATGTTAGGTAAGAACTAGCTCCTAAAAGCTGTGTTATACTTACACACACAGGCCAACATGCCTCACCCTCATTCTGTGTGTGTCTATGTGTCTGTGTGTCTGTCTCTGTGTGTGTGTTTTCCAGAAAACATTTCTCTGTACTTTTCCAACCAGGAAGGAGTATCTCGATTTTAACCCCCATAATGTCCGGATTCCTAAGGGAAGATGAGAGACCAGCTGACCTAACAAAAGCCACAGGTTTTGCATTGTTGAGGCTAAGAGGCTAAGAGGGTCACACCTGACTCTCTTCAGCGGCCACATTTATTCCCAGTGACTCCTAAGGAACAATGGGTGGCAGACAGAATGGAACAGAAGTCTATTTATGAAAGTGCACATTGACCCATTAACCTGAGGCAGGTTACACTGTGGCAGATTTTCCTCCTGGGTCTACAAGCTTCATACGCAACATCCCACAGCCCCAGATGGTTTACAAAGCACATTTACTCCCAGGATCTAAAGTTCTCCAAACACCAACTATACTTAGCATTACTCCCCAGATCATTTCAATCTAGCAGGATTCTATCTGGTGAACTTTTGTTTGATTGGCATCTGGGGTTCTGTTTGTGTGCCTGTATCTTCATCAGCAGAAAAAGGAAGTGACTGCAAGGCCTGCTCACATGAGACAAGTTTTCTATCACAGAGCTCTAAACTCAGTCCCCTAAAGTGTTTTTTTTAAAATATCTTTATGCAGGAGCTTAAGAGATGGCTCAGTGGTTAAGAGCATTGCTCTTGCAAAAGACTCCAATTCAGTTCCCAGCATCCACAGCGGCTCACAACCATCTGTAACTCCAGTTCTAAAAGATGCAATACCCTCTTCTGGCCTCTGCAGGCACCAGGCACATACAGTACACATACAGGCAAACACTTAAGCACATTAAAAAAAAATACTGTCATATAGTCTTTGTCCTGCTCTTCACATTTTAGCCCCTGGCCTCTCTGCCTAGATCTGAAATTCTATTCTTGGGATTCACAGAATCTCAAGGTAGCTGTAAATGTATATGTGGTTGTGATAGTTTGAATGTAATGAGCCCCTATAATCTTATAGGGAGAGGCACTATTAGGAGGTGTGACTTTGCTGGAGTGGGTATGGCCTTGCTGGAGGAAGTGTGTCACTGTGGGGGCAGGTTTAGGTTTCCTATGTTTGGAATACTACCCAGTGAGTCAGTCAACTTCCTGTTGTCTGCAAGATGTAAGACTCTTAGCTATTCCTTCAGCACATCTGTCTGCAAGCCACCATGCTCCCCACCATAGTAAAATGGAAGTCGTCACCTCAAGTAAATGTTTTCTTTTCTGAGAGTTGCCATGGTCATGGTGTCTCTTCACAGCAATAAAAACCCTAAGACAGTGGTCTATGAACTTGAGGTGGAAAAAGTTTACATTTTCCCCCTGTATTGCTCTAACTCTCCTTCATTTATGAACCACACATGTGCCTTTGCCATTAATAGAAACCAGAAGCCTTTGTCACATTAAAGTTGCTGAGATCCATAAATATGTTTCCTCAAGCCTCCTTTGAATTACACCAGTCAGAGTCACTACTAAATCTTATTATTTAATGCATTAATAAGAACATATATTAATGAGCCAGACATAGTGGCACATGCCTTTAATCCCAACACTTGGGACGCAGAGGCAAGCGGATCTCTGAGTTCAAGGCTAGCCTGGACTAAACAGAGAAACCCTGTCTCAAAAAAAAAAAAAAAAAAAAAAGTACATATACGACGATCTTCTTTTGAATGCTTTCAGTCTTTGCAGGCAGAGGCCAGAGCAGAATGTCAGGTGTCCTCCTCTATCAACCTCAATCCTGTTTTCTGAGATCCTCTTCATGAGGCTCTCTCCATGAACCCAAAGCTTGCTGCTCTGACTCGGCCCACCAGTCAGCAAGCTGCCAGACTCTGCCTGTTCCCCAAAAGCTGGGGTTACAAGCACATAATGGTCATGCTTGGGTTTTACGTGAGTGTTGGGGATTTGAACTCAGGTCCTTTTGTTTTCATACCAGATACTCATCACACCCACTGACCCATCTCTCCGCAAGCCTTGTAATCGTAGATGTTATTTTATGTGTGAGGAAACGTGACAGGTTCACACATACAATCCTAGCACTTGGGCAGGAGGCGGCAGAGGGACCAAAAGAAGAAAAGGAAAGATGGGCAGGGGGAGGAGAAGAAAAGTACAGAACAAGTGTGGGTATAGACTTTACCAGAGGTCAAGGAGACAGTGCAAAATACTTTAAGAAATGAACTAAGACTCCCTTCTAGACAGTACCACATCTTGAACAAATGTGCAATTTTTATAATTTATTTATTTTTCTTTTATTTGCATTGTTTTGTCTATATGTATGCCTGCGTGAGGGTGTCAGATCTTAGGGTTACAGACAGTTGTAATGTAGTTGCCATGTGGGTTTTGGGAATTGAACCCTGGTCCTCTGGAAGGGCAATCAATTGCTCTTAACTGTTTAGCCATCTCTGTAGCCCCAAATGTGCAATTTCTTATACCCAGCCCAATTCATTACACCCCCAGAATACTCAGTGTGTGCCACACAAACTGAGGGAAGCTCTGGGTTTATTTTCAATATCAAACACTTACTTTGCAGATCTTTTGAGCATGTGCTCCTGACAGACTGCCTCCAAAAACAGTAAAATCCTGAAAAAAAAAAACAAAAAACAAAAACAGTTAAACCAGCATGTAAAATATGATGAGGCAGAGCTGAAAACCCAGGGAAATGGGAAACTTAACATTGTTAAAGGCATTCCAGACATTGAGAAAAATAGAGAAAAAAAATACAACTCTAACACATAGATTATTCCCCAGAATAGTTAATAGGGTATCTTAAACAGAGTTTGTGTAAGATCAGGGTAGTAGTCTTTGCCCTACAAAAATGACTCAGAGCTCTGAGGCAATAACTCAAGCAGGATTAACCCAAATTCCTCCAGTGCCAAACAAGCGCTGCCATTTCCAGGTAGTATGTCGGATTCTGAAAAGAGAGGAGGAGATGAAAGGCAATCAGAGTCCCCCGGCTCCACCCCATCCCTGTGTCTGATACTGTCACATTAGGGACATCTAATAAGCACTAACAGCAGGCTAGCTGAGGGGAACTCAAAGCACAAAGGTACCACATGATTGGGAGGAAGGAAATGGAAGCACACACCTGAAGGGGGCAACCAACGAGGAACCAAGGAAAAGGTGAGGGGCACTAAAACAGGAGTAAGCTTGGGGTAAAAGAACTCAAAGACCTCCCCCTCTTTGCCTTGAGGGGAGAAAGGCTATTCCTCTAAAGAAATAGACTCCAGAATCAGATCATTGCCCTGAAAGAAGGCAAAGATGAGGATGAAAACCAGAGTACTGAATGAGCCCTACTGGCTCCTCCCCTCTCCATAGAGCTTGCTGTCAGCCAGTGGCCAAGGGAAGAAGGATACTTTTCTGGAAAAAGTTAACTCAGAAAAATCACCCGTGTTAGTATCCTGAAAAGTGGAATGAGAAGGCAGGTTCACGACACCCCAAGGCCAGGGTCCAGCCTCTTTCAAGGTCCATCTTCCCCACTCGCCTCCCCAAACCTGGAAAGACCTCCTCCTGATGAGTCCAAAGCATTTGCCGGAGCCTCTCTTACCCGGTCTGTGGCCGCCTGTTCTGCCCCATTCTACCTATAAACTGGCGTCTTCGGAATGAGAGCCCTGTCTTCATCATCTCATCTCTTCCTCACTCCCACTTTCTCTGTGAGCAGACAGGGCACCCGAAAGTAGGATGGATTTGAATTTCTGTAGTGGCCTTGAGTAGTCAGACATCGCGGCCAGAAAACACAGTATCAATCTTTGTTCCATCATTTCTATGCTTCCTTATTTATTAACTTTTGCCCAGGCAGCTCATAAAAACTGAGGGAAAAAAAGTAATATTCAACATTTGGCAGACCCAATAGTAGAAAAATCTATTATGAAATAACACACAAAATACCCTGCTTCTGTTGCTGCCGTGATGCACTAACTCAGGGTCATGCACCTAAGACAACACTCCGCTCTCTCACATCCTGTGGTGCAGAAGCTCCCTCTCAGGGACCGCACTGGGTTGCAACCAAGGTCAACAGGTCTGTGACCTCTCAGGCCTCAAGGGCAGGCAACCTGGTTACCTTTCTGAAGCTTCCAGCCACGGCTCCCGCTCCTCCTCTCCTAGAATGCTTCTCTATTTTCAAAGCCTCACAGCACAGGTGCCTCTGCCTCCCGAGTGCTGGGATTAAAGGCATGCGCCACCACCGCCCAGCATACAATAATTTTTAAAAAAGCAATTTGGGTATGACATAGCTTTATTCTGCCTACAAGGTCTTCGTCAGGTCTCAGTGTATGCCAACTTCATCTCTCTTGATGGAACTTCACAAAATGTATTAGGATACCTTCAAAAAAAAAAAAAATCCCAGAGCTCACAGACCAGTGCTTTTAAGAATCAATTTTTTTCTACTCAGACTGCATCTGGATCCTCCACAGCCCCAACTATAAGCAAGATTTCATTCCCCCAAATTGTTTTCTATCACATATTTTGTTCCTGGCTCTACCTTGCAGGAAAGCCTCATTTGCTGGAGTTAGGACATACCTGACTGAAGACATAGGCCAATCTTCCATTGATTCGGCCCCGTCCAGTGACCACGCTATCTCCAGGAAACTACCAGAGAAAGGGAAACATACAGGTCAGAAAACCCAAATACTTCTGGGTTGTTGCTTGTTTTTTTAAGACAGGATTTCCCGGTGTAGCCCCGGTTGTCCTGGAACTTTCTCTGTCGACCAGGCTGGCCTCAAACTCACAGAGATCTACCTGCCTCTGTCTCTCAAGTGCTGGGATTAAAGGCGAGCGCTACTGCCGCCCAGCCCAAATATTTCTTTATAGTGAAGTTGGCGTCATGGCTTAACTAAAAACAAAAACACCAAAGTTTCTAAGGTTCAAACTAAAAACCAAAGCAGGGTTTAGTCTCTAGCACACCAAAATGAATAACTAGAATTTTCAGAAGAAAGGTAATATAACCACGAGGTTCCCAGGGACACCATTGCCACTTACTCTGAAAGGGACACACAGAAAACATAACAGAGCTAGGCATGGTGGCACATGCCTGGACTCCCAGCCAAAACTAAGGGAGAATCATTATAAGTTCGGGGTCAGCCTTGGCTGCACAGTCAGACCCTCAAAGAGAAAGAGAAAGAGCTTTCTGAGCAGCTTCTCTGATACCACATATCCCTACTCAGACCATTCTTTGTGCAAACTCAGACATTGGTGTGCCCAGAATGGCTCAGACAGACCCTGCCGAGTTTACACCTTTGGTCATAGTCAGCAGATGTGCAAAAAACGGGCCCAAAAGTGAATCCTAAGAGCTCCATGAACCCACAAACAATTTGATTTTGCTGACCTCAAAGATTGCCAGGTATATCTGATGCATGCCCATGATTACACACCCAGGTGGCTAAGACCACGGGGACCATGAGCTCAGGGCTGCCCGGGGTTACACGGAGTTCTAGGGCAGCATGTGTGAGATAGTCAGGCAAACTGAAAAAATAAACAATAAAAACAGCTAAACATAAGCCAGACAGTGGCGGTGCATGCCTTTAAACCTAGCACTAGAGAGGCAGAAGCAGGCAAATCTCAGAGTTCGAAACCAGCCTGGTCTACAGAGTGAGTTCCAGGACAGTCAGGGAAACACAAAGAAACCTTGTCTGGAAAAACAAAACAAAAACCCCCACCTAAACACAAGGCTAAAACTTAAGAAGTATCAAAAGCAACAACTGGCCTGCATTTAGACAAGGGTCTGGTTCTCAGACCCATCTGAGAGATCCTCTCACAATCCTCCCTCCAACCTTGTCCGTCTGTATGAGGAATGGAACCCACAACCAGTGCCTTGGAAACTGGGCCTGAGTTAGACTGCAGAGAGTATACACAGCCTCTAACACTCTTCTGCAGGCAAAGGTGAGGTAGGAGAGAACCTGAAGGCCCCTCAGCTCTTCTCCAGTGCAAGTGAGATAAAAGCTCTATCGACTCTTTGTTCTGGTGGGAAGGCTAGCAAGCCATAGGAAGTGTTCACACCGCCACTGGAAAAAACAAAGATACCTTATTCTTATCAGCAGCCATCCCGAAGTCGGCACATCTGTGTTCCACAAACATGTCGCTCTCCACAAAGCTGCCGGGGTCCAGCAAGAGACTGATCCTCTCCCTGGCAGTTAGCTTTCCCTACAACAAAAGACCAAGTTAAGGTAGGTAAGACATGTTAGCAGGAAGGCCAGAGCCACAGGTTTTGCCTTTTTGCCCCCGTGTAAAAGGCTCCACTGTCCGTCCTACCCAAAGTGGACAGGTGATAGCGATAGACTTCGTTCCAGCCAGGAAAGCTGGGTAGATGCCATGCTCGGGAGCCACCTGCCTGTGGAAAGTAAATCAAAGGGAGGAGAAGCAGGTGAAGACAAGTGGGGGTAAAGAGAGCCTGACCCTGAACTGCACTGAGAACCCTGAGCAGGAGTAGGGAGGAAACTAAGGCAGGCTTCGTGAGGGTCAGAGAGTTAAAGGTATGTTCAACCAGGCACAACCCCTCCCTCCAGCTCCCAGCCTTCACCCCAAGGCACTATTGCCTTCTTCTATCCTAAATAAGAATTCCTGCTGGAAGACCCCACAGCAGGGAGCTGCTGAGTAAAGGGAGAGGGGCCAGGTGCTGGGGAGTTTGTCGGGAGGGGGAGTTTCTCGGGTTGGAGGGCATTTGCTTTAAAGACAGAAAGAAAAAACGGCCGGAGATACAGTTCAGTTAGTAGAGGGCTTGCCTAGCATGTGCAAAAGCCCTAGGTTCAATTCCCAGTACCACACAGACTGCATACATAGGGTAGTGAATGCCTACAATCCCAGAGCTGGGGAAGCAGCAGAGGGATCAGAAGTTCAAGGTCTGTATGAGATCCTATCTCAAAATTAAAGAAAATACTTCTTACAGATGAAGTTGAAACCCTCAATCTATCAAGAGCCTCCACTCCTTAGGCTCCCAAAACCTCAGCTCTCGAGAAAGTCCTTAGCCCCTGTGCTAAAACAGCACATACACACAGTAAACAACAAACAGCCCTTGGAATTAGTTATCTTAGGAAAGCAGTGAAAGCCAATGAGGTTGTGGAAAACATTTACTTTGGGGGAAAACAACCTAACGACTATGGATAAAGAGAGCGATAGATTTGAAAATATTCATACTTTCTGATCCACTGTAGGAAACCTGTCTTATGGAACTCATAAAAAACTTGCTTAATGAGAGCACAAATCGGCCTCCCAACTAAATCAGCCCTGACCACCAAAAGCAGCTCTCCGAGCCTATCGAAGGGCATCAGGGTTTGCTTGGGGAGGAACTGAGCATTGGACCCTGACAGAGGTGACAGGCTTTCCCAGGAAACGTGTTAGTCCTTCACCAGGCCCCCACCGGAGTGAAGAATAGTCCTGCTCACCACAAACCTTTCAACCCCATTCCTAAATGTCAAAAAGGAATTGTTAGCCTTAGGCCTCTTTCAAACAGTAACTCAGGACTTCTGCATCAACCTTTGGCCAAGATTTAAGACCCAGTTCACACCTTTAATCCTAGTGCTCTGGAGGCAGAGGCAGGGGGAAACTGTTCAAGGCCAGCTTGGCTTATAAAGCAAGTTCCAGGACAGCCAGAGCTGTCGTTACACAGAGAAACCCTGTCTCAGAAAATCAAAACCAAACCAAAACGAAAAAACAAAAAGCCCAGCTTTTGCCACACTTGAGTAGGACTTCTGTGCTCTTCCCAGCGAGTCCGTTCCTTAGGCGAGGTACCTTCCTGCTAACTCATCCAGCTCTCTGACTAGACTCACCAGGTAAGTCTGGTTTCAGGTCTGGGGTCACCTCTTCCTGCCTGATGCTTCTGCTGCTAACCGGCCTCCCCAGCTTATCTCTGAAGCTCAACTGTGGTTCTCGCCCGAAGATCCAGGCAGTGTGTCAGTGCCTCAGCTGCCCACTGGCCAGACTGCAGAGTAGCTGCGAGTTTATCCAAAGCCCACCTGCTTCTTAACCAGTAGATCATGCTGAAACTCGCAAGAGGCCCACCTGACTTCCTAAGGCACAGGTGTCCCTGCAATCACAGAGAACTCGACCCCAGGTTAATGTGAATGTAGTCAAGCGATTTCTGATACTATGAGGCTCGGTTTTATTGTTTATTACAGAAGAAACAAACAAACCTGCCACAACTCTTTCAGACAACAGGAAAATAATGGGGTCTTTTTAATTAATTGAGAGCCTACCGCCGATTAGTGAAGCAATCTTATTCTAGTAAGATATGAGAGGCATTATTCTGTTTAAGATGATTTCGAGAGACTAACTTTCCCAAAAGTTCATAGCTGCTAAGGTGGAGCACTGCTGGAGACTGGTCAGATCCATCCTTTCATCCAATCAACGCCCACCACCACTTGGGGACCTCGATAAGCACCCAGAAGCTGGTCCTCGGCTACCCAACCCCCGAGGGGGCCCTAGGCTCTCCAGGTGAAAGTTCTCGCCGCGCCCCTCCCAGGCACAGCGCCTATTGGCTGGGAGGCCACGGGCGCCGCGAGCCCGGCGCACTGTGATAGGTCGCGGGCGGAGGGGGCGGGGCGCGCTGGCGCCCCGGACTCACTCGCTTGTGCTGCGCGTCGATGCGGCGCTGGCCTCCGCCCTGCAGCGCGGCACGGCGCTTGTTGTCGATGCGCTCGTTTACTGCAACCGGCTGGCTGCAAAGGCTGCGGACGCCGCAACTGAGAACCCTGAGCCTCGCTCCAGCCGCCGCCGCCCGCACCGCCGCCGCCATTTTTACTCTGCCAGCGTGCCACACCGACCAGCGCACCTGAGGACGCATGCGCGGAAAGCGTGGCCATAGCGGTGTGCGCCTGCGCGCCGTCGCTGGGACTAAAGCTCCTGGCAGCCACAAGCGTTGTAGTCCAGGCCCAAGGAGGTTCAGCAGGGCTGTACCGGGAAATACCTGCTTTTCAGCTCTGTGCCTATGTTGCTGCACAGAACAAGGACTTAATCCGTGCTCTGCAATAGCCCTCTTGACCCCCAAGCTTTGTCGACCCACTCCTCCCAAAAATGAATAGATAATAGGCTCTATCCAACCTTTACCAAATGATGTCTCAGATTTTGCTTTTACAACTTGGCCAAGTAATCATTTATATCCAGATTTCACAAGGACAGAAGTAGGTTTGATGAAGCCAAGATTGAAATTTTTTTGTGAGCTAGGTACTGGACGCCAGAGCCTTTTGAGAGAGTCTCTTAAAAGGAAGGGGAGCTGAGGAGTTGCTCCGCTCAGTGGTTAAAGCCATTGCCAACACAAGTATGAGAACTAGAGATGGGTCCCAAAACTCGGTACAGCCAGAGTAACGAGTGTCTGTAATGAGGTTGCCTAGGTGAGAGGAGCGATAGAGATGACAGAATCACGGGAATCTCACAAACCAACCTGGCAAATGCAGCAGCAGACGAGACCCAATCGTCACACAAAGAAAGTGACCATTCCTGGTTGTTCTATGACCTCCACATGTGCACACCCAAACTCTGACACACACAAAGGTTTTTTTGTTGTTGTTTTTAAGTTCATGACACTTGACACAGAATGGAGATGTATACCTTTTCAGGGATCACTGCGTTAGGTGTGAGGACCACTGCTTAAAAGGGGTTTGCAGTGGGGAGAGAGAGAGAGGTTGGCCTCAACTCTCAATACAACAAAAACAGGATTTACTGGGTTGGGGGTTCAATGAATGGAAAGTTGAGAAAGCAGTAAGGGTATGGGAGAAACTTAAGGTGTGCTTTGTTGAAGGCAAGCCAGGGTGCTCAGATGTCACGTGGGGGGCAGTGGAGACCGAACCTTCAAATATTGGGGGTGATCACTTATCAAGGGTTGAGGATTCTGGCTTAGCCGACAGCAGGATTCTTGGTAAAGCTACACTCTATAGGAGAGGAGCTAGGAGCCAAGGAGCTCAGTAGAGCCTGACCAAAGTTTGGTCAAGGAGAGACTCCTGTCAACACAGCGCCTGTGACATTACTGGGGAGCAAGCAGAAAAAGTAAACTGCAAATGTTGGGACTCTGCCCCAGACCTACTGAATCAGAAATGGGGGTGGGGCTGCTGGCCTTCCTTAGAAAGTGACCTCCAGTTAGCTCAGATGCTAAAATCCAAGAACCCCTGCTCCAGTGCTTGTGAAAGTGAATTATTAATGCTTTTCCATTTGTTTACCCAGGTTAACTGGCAGGTCTTTAAGGCCTTTAAGGCAAAGTACAAGGTGCATATTTCTCATTCTTAGCCACAAAAAAAGAAAAAAAAAAGATCCTGCCAAAGTTGATTATTAACCCCTCCTAGGTCCATCTCACAGCCAGGACTTCATAAAGTTCAAATTCTGGCCTGAAACTCTAATGTTAAGGTCATTTCCCTTTTCATTTACTTTTTGGGGTGTGGTCTGACTTATATAGCCCTCAGCTGGCCTGGAACCCATGATGTAGACCAGACTGACCTGAAACTCACAGGGATCCACCTTACCCAGCCTTTCAAGTACTGGGTTTAAAGGTATGCACCCCCAACTCACGGCAAAATAAGCATTTTTTTGAGCCATCTGTGGGCCAAGAACTGAATTATGAGCATAGGTGGTGTTTCTTAGATCAAGGATTATTTTCCTTAACATACACAGAAGTTCGGTGTCCAAGGCCTGAAGTCTCCTGATGGAGCAAAGATCACCTACATCTGTCCAACACCAGTGGAGAGAGCTCTTAGCCCTATTCTTAGAACTCTGTTTTAAGAACCTTAACAACCTAGAGAGGTAAACAAGGGGCTAGCTCTGGGAGACTCTGCTGCGTGTTTATGTATATGTGAGAAGGTAGCAAGCAGTAATGTAAGGAAAAGAGGCCTGGCCTGGTAGCACACACCTTTAATCCCAGCACTCAGGAAGCAAAGGCAGGAGTGAGGATATCTGTGCCGTCAAGGCCAACCTGTCAACATAGCAAGTTCTAGAACAATCAGGGATACATAGTCAGATCCTGTGTGGTATTCTGAATGCAATCAGCCCCTATAATCTCATAGAAAGTGGCACTATTAGGAGGTGTGGCTTTGTTGGAGTGGGTATGGCTATGTTGGAGGAAGTATGTCACTGTGGGGGCTGGGTTTGAGGTTTCCTATGCTCAGGATACTGTCCAGGGTCTCAGTCAACTTCCTGTTACCTGCAAGATCTTAGGATCTTAGCTATTGTTTGCCTATAAGTCACCATACTCCCAGCCAAGATGATGGACTGAACCCCTGAAACTGTAAGCGAGTCACCCCAATTATGAATTGCTGTGCTCATAGTATCCCTTCACAGCAATAGAAACCCTAAGATTCCATATATATATATATATATATATATATATATATATTCATACACATGTTCTTAATCTTGGTTATGTCACCAAATTTTGGAGAAATAGTAGCAAATGAGACTGGACACCAATAATCAAATGCAAATTACGAAGATTGGATATGTCCACAATGGGGACGTTGGAGGTTGTTATGCCTCAGAAAGCCTGAAAAATGGCTAACTAAGGTCCCTATTAACTATCAAAGTGGACAATGGCCAGCTCTCCCGGCATCACTCAGAGCCTTTGGCTCCTCCCAGCATGTCTCATCCTGCCCCCTACCCTAAACCTCCCCTTCTAGGGTCTGGGCTTCTGCTTCCCTTCCCCTAGCCTGATCCCTACATAACTCAGCAGTTTTGGCTACTCCAGGCTCTTGGCCTCTTGGCCCAGGCTCCCTCTTCATCTTTGGCTCCCCTGTCACGCCACCTCCCTGTCTCTCCTCTCATGGTCCAGTGTAGTCTGCTCGCCATGTTCAGCCTGGACTCCTCCCTATGCCTGCCTTATCCCTTCTATCTACAATAAAATATTTCTCCACACTTTAGGAGCAGTCACGGCCCCCTCCTTTTCGTTCATTTCTTCATTCAGAGGTGAGGGCAATGGTACTCCCCTGTTCTAGAGTTTCTCAGAGGTTTGACTCATGAAGCACATGCCTTACTATGTTGGATTCTTTAGCTATCTTTGCAGATGGAAAACAGGGATTGCAGCTGGCTGGCTCACACTCTGCCCTAAACTCAGAACAACAGGCAAAACTGCATGAGTCAGCAGATTTTCAATTCCTATACATGCCTTCGAGTTCTGCTCCATCGTGGGCTCCTCCAGGCAATCTACTTACCTCCTCTCTCTGCCTGGTCTGGGTAAGCAGGGAAGCAAGGAATGGTTTTCTCAACTTTAAATGTCAGTGCTTAGGTGGAAGTCAAATACAAGGGGTCTTACTACAGCTCTTCCAGCTAGTCTTTCCTCCTTGCCCTTCTCCATTTGCTTTTATTAGTCTGGTTTGGTGGAGGAGGGGAGGAGGGCAGGGGTAATGGGTGTTGTGTGTCTCCCCACCCCTACCCTGTGGCGGTGCTGGGAATCAAACCCCAAAATCAAGTGATAAACTAGTGGGTTCATGTCTCCATCAGTGCGACATCTGTGCGGAATTGCCCTGGAGCCTTGATTTCTGATAGAGCTAGAACACAGCTGCAGCTTCAGTGGGTTTAACTATGAGGGAGAGAAAACACAGCTGCAGAGGTCCAGTTTTCCCCAGGTCTATTTACCTCCTGTCTACCCAGTCTGCCCTGTATCTGCATGAGCACGGTCTCCCTGTTAGGAAGCCACCAGGACCCAATCATGGGTCTCCGTTATTTAGTTACTTTCAAAAGACTGTGTTCCTACCACTGTGGTCAAATTAATTGTCTACTCTCTTGATACTTTTAGCACGTGACTTTGGGGCTAAACCTGAGTCTGGAGAAGACAGATCACCTAGGCTCAGCACCATGAGCTCCTCCTCTTCCTCTCTGTCCTACAAATCTGTCCTATTCTGTTACCATCTGCTGCAAACGTTGCAGGGTGTGGCAGGAAGAGGGCTGAACTGTCCAAGCTCCTCCTTCTGAACGCCCCATGCTCTAGGATCTCTGTTCTTTGTCCATTTCATGGGATTGAGTGACTTCTCCATCAAGAGACAGGAGCCACCCAGCTCTGTCATTAGTTCTCTTGTTTTTCAAGACAGATAAAAATCCAGAGGACGTCCCGGCAGTGGTGGCACACGCCTTTAATCCCAACTCAGGAGGCAGAGTCAGGCAAATCTCCGTGAGTTCGAGGCCAGCCTGGTCTATAGAGCAAGTTGTTCCAGGACAGGCTTTAAAGCTACATGGAAAAAAACATGTCTAAAAAAAAAAATCCAGAGGATGTCCATATGTAGACTTTGCTCCTCCCTAATCTCCTGGTAAAAACATAGTGGGGGTAATTTCTTGATTGTGAGAAAATCCATAAATCTAAACATGAGGCTTGGCGAATGTGAAGTGTTTGCTAAATTGTTGACTAATAGATCACTCTTAGTTTCCTAAAGCAGTCTGTCTTTAAAGACATGATCTCACCATGCTGTGTGCTGGGATTAAAGATATGAACCACCATGCCTGACTTAAGTAGACAGTCTTATTTATTGAGAATTTTCCCTAGAAAGCCTCAGGGTGTAAGGAGAGTAACTCGGTGGGATTTGTTTGCACCCAACCACAAGGGGTGGACAAGAACTGTCAAAGCCCATTTGAGAGAACTTCCGGGCCAGAGATGTCTCTGGCTAGGGTGGCTTACTGACAGTCGAGTGGGGCAAGTCAGTCTCCTGGCCAAGGGACCACACTTAGGAAGGTGGGTTCCCTTACAAAAAGACAGGCAGGCCAACTAGTCCCGCTGCTAGCCCAGCAGCTTACTAGGCTGAAGCCACGTAAGTCTGCCCGCTTTTCTAAATCACTCAGGACAGCATAACTTTCTCTT